CAAAATTCTTCATCTTTTATCTTATTCTTTGGTGGTGCACACCACGCAGCACACACCACTATGGGTTTAGTTAATGTGCACTAATTATTCCATCAAATAACCACAAAGGAGAGATAGCAAATATTATTCCTTTCAAGAACCTGAGTTCATTCTGGGGTCAGGCACCACAAAGACAACAAGCAATGAGAAGTGTATTCTCTAGACCTTATTTAAATGCTTCCCTCCAGTGGGCAGATCACTGCAGGGTGGGGGAACCCAACACTCTGCTGCTAGTGAGGAAGCAGCTCCAGGCTCCAGGAGCTGCTCCAGCTCTGTGGCATCCCAGGATGGACAAGGTGGCCACACAGCCATCATGCCCTGCCAACCACACCGTGTCACTGTGGGGGCTGAGGAGGCACCAAGATGCCACCAGAGAAACCCAACCCAGAGCCCAAGTGAAACTTGCACCCCTTTGCAGTGAGGCAGCTTTGAATGCAGCTTTGCAAACCTCTGCAATTAGGTGTGTGGGCTAGAAAAAGAAGCATATAATGCTGCTGAATGCTTCTTCCTGAATTTGTTCTGGCTTACTTTAGCTCACTTCCTACTCTGTTCTCTCAGGTTTATTTATGTGGCTGGAACACTGGTTTCAAAGAATTACTTATTGTTTGAATTTCAGGTACCAAACACTGTTTACTCATACAGGAAAACAAAACTACCAAGACTATTGAGATTCTATTTTAAATAATGAACACATTTCCTAAGAGAGAAGTGAGGAGAAAATGCTTCTTCCTGAATTTGTTCTGGCTTACTTTAGCTCACTTCCTGCTCTGTTCTCTCAGGTTTATGTGGCTGGAACACTGGTTTCAAAGAATTACTTATTGTTTGAATTTCAGGTACCAAACACTGTTTACTCATACAGGAAAATAAAACTACCAAGACTATTGAGATTCTATTTTAAATAATGAACACAACATTTCCTAAGAGAGACATGAGGAGAAAATATTTTTTGCCTTCCCTCCAATTTCTGAGACTGGTTTTCAGGTGCTAGAGGCAATCTATTCCATTGTGCCCAAAGGACTTGAGTGGTGTATGGAGTGCAATTCCTCATGCCTTCAACTGAAAAGGACTTTTTAGCAGGATTTATGGCTTTGCAATTTACTTCATTCAGGGGAACCACCTCAACACACTGAATGACTAACCAAGTATTATTACTAAACTACACCACACGTCTCTGAAACTTGAAATTGTGGATTTCCAGAGCTGTAACAATCTTATGGCCCTCCTAGAATATACTCCACTACAAAGGCACCTACTCATGCTATCATTAGGGTGTATTTCTTTACAGCAGGTTGCACCACACCTTGAAGTCCAGATGAGCAACAGGCCTGGTTCTATCACCACATTTTGGATCTTTACCTTTCTATTAACAGAGCAGCTGTGTAGGGGAGGTGGGTTTTGTCTTAAGCAGGCCAGTAGCTTTGCACAGCCATCCCAAATTATTCCTTGCTCTGATGATCTTCACATAACTCTGGCATCAATCATGCTTAACCATAAGCTCCTGACTCCTGTAGTCTCTCTTTCCCCCTTGTCTCTGAAGTGTTTTACATCTCAAGTGTCTCCCAAATGCATTCTCCTCACCTAGTCAGACCTTCAGATCCTTCCCTCCCTCCTCCTGAGTACACCTTTCCTTCTTACCAAGTCAGCTCTTCTCTCACCTGTGCTAGAAACAGCTTCTTATCCACGGAGCCTGGGTGGTCTTTGAAAGCACCAAACAAGTCTGGCAGCACCTGGGCCAGGACAGATAGGAGCTGACATTTTGGGGAAGACTGGGCTTTATATGTGGGAGCAGGCTCAGCCAGTGTGTAAAGCACAAAATACACATTTTAGATTGCTTTAAAGAGCATGCAAGAAGCTCAACTTCTGCCAGATCAGAACTGTTTGTTGTTACAAAAAAAACAACCAACCAAAACTCTCTAGTGACAGAAAGAATTAAATCACTTTGAGGAAGATGCTCAAGCACAAAGACAGACTGCCACTGAGGCTATGAAATCCTTATCATTCAAGGATTTAATTCTCAGAAATACTCCAGGTAGACCTGACTCTGTTTTGGGATACATTGTGGGTTAAGATTACCCACCAGGGTCCTCATTTCCTAAGGTTTCTGATAAAAGGCTAAATGCAATTTCACAAAGTTTGTCATTTCAGACGTTTAAGAGGTTCTTGATAAAGGACCTTAATAACACACAGGCATGTCTAGAGAATAAAAATATTTCCCAATCTGGCTCAAGACATTTCTGACACGCTGCCAGAATCCCTTCTTTATCTTTTCTACTCTATTTCTTGGCTTAAATATTACAAATGTTAGACTTCAGTGTCATGTCAAGAGAATTTGTTATGCAATTTGGAAACAAAAAGTGTTTGGCAATGCAGTACAGCAAGTTAGCTCCTATGTGAGTAAGAGTAGATCTTAATTATCCTTGGAAAAATACCAAGCCTATAGGCAGATAAAGGGGATGGGGGGGAAGAAAAAAAAACTTACATAATATTATCAAAAGAGATAAAACCTTCAATAAAATTGTTACCATTAAGGATTGGATCATGCCAGGCACCTTGCTGGTCTTTCAGGAAGGTGACACAGGCTGTTTTCTCCTGGAGCTCAGAGTATCTAGACAGCATCCTGAGCTTTCAGCCTGTAGCATGGGATGATCCTGAGATTTCTTCCTCTGATTACAACCATCCACAACAGCCACCATGCAACAATCTCTGCTTTAAAGATAAGGAAGCTTCTGCATTACTGTTACTTGTACATAAGGATTTTAAGGAAAAATAAGAATGAACAAACTTGGATTTGCAGCACTGAGGCCTTTTAAATTCTAGTTGTTCCAATGAATATATTGGAGAATAGGGTAAAAAAATCCCATGAGGTGCCAACTTGATGGGAATGGGAAAAGAATTGCTTCCTTAGCATGTGCCAAGTTGGTGAAACTAGAATGTGGTTTGAATAAAAAGGAGAGGAAAGTGGTATCTGTAGTAGATAAAATATTATGAGAAGCCAACTATTTTGATTTTAAAATCCTGGCAGGAGTTTGGTTGAAAAAGTGATTTAATGTCAGGATGATGCAAACACTAATGAAGACATGGTAGCTACCATGTTGGGCTATATGTGCCAGAAATAAATGATTCAAGAGTATGTCAACTAGTTTGGATGTTAAAAGGATGCTAAAGAGCTGTCTTATCAATGGGCACAAGGTAACCCAACACAAACTCTGCTTCTGGCATGTTGGTGTGATGCTTGTGTCCTGGCTAAGTATGAAAGCATCTACCTCCTCATGGAACTTCTGGACTTCTTTCAGTGAAGATAATGAACTCACATTTTCAACAAATTTATTAACTGTGTCTCTAGCTGTTGAGAGGGAAAATAATAAATCCAACAAGACAGTAACTCGAGGAATTAAAATAATTAGAACTTCACTGAGCAGCTACAGGATTTGTGTCTGACTCACAGGCTAATTATAGCCCTAGCACATCAGAAGAATCTCTCCCTAGGAGTCTGTTTGAGTTAGACAGAGCAAGCCATCACAGGGCCCCAACAACCCAGACACAGAGGAACAATTCAGACAGTCTACTGCTTCCCCAAAGGATCTCTTACACCTCAAATAGCTATTCATTTCAACACATGCATAAAGATATAAATAAGAAAGAAGATTAAGTGGAACGTGTGGGTACGATGCATGTTTTATAAACTGAACTTTGCAACTCAGGTATCTCCATAAAAGTAGAAATCTGAGAATTCTGCTTAGTGGCCCACGTGGGGCTTTTTTTAAATTAGAAAACAAATGAACCTGTGCTATTGCAAATAGAGGGAACACCTGAATCACAAGGCACTGCTTGTTTATTGATGTGACAAATAGAGTTTAAAATTTAATTACTACTGACCCTTCTCAGAACACAAGCACACTTTATAAATACCTCCTTTTGTACCATGGATTCCTTCTACAGCATTCTGATCAAATGCCTCTGCTGTGCCACTTAGATGCCATTTCACAGATTAAGGTTTAAACTGAAAAGAATTCCCACAAAGTCCCTCTGATGAAGAGGAGTATTAGCTTCACTTTCCAGAGGAAGCACAGAGTACTCAATTTGATCTAAAATATGGTGGGCATGTGAACACTGACTGTAAGAAGCAATAGCAGGCTGATGATAGAGGTTTTATCAGCTTTCCTCCCTTGCTGGTGGAGCATACACTTACCTGGGTATGAGACACATGGAGGGGACCACAGAGCAGCCTTTGGAAGAACTGCTGGAGGACAGGGTGGCCATGAAGCCACAGTGTGGGAGGAGAAGAGATCATCAGCCATGAGTGCTGAAAATTCTGCAACAGCTTCTCCACTCCACTAGCACCATTTGGTGGGTATGAATGAGCTGCCAGCTGTCCCTCTTCCCAAAGCTGCCTCACATTTCCAACACCAGAATGCAGAGACATTCCCTGAGCTAGGTTCAGACACAAATATGAGCAGCAGCAGCTAAGGTAACACCCTTGCTGGGATTTCCAGCTTTTTTTCCAAGAGGTGAAATGGCACTAAAATCAAGGCACTCCTGAAATTCTTTGCAAAAGCACTGGCAAGGATTCAGAGAGGGAGCTAAAAAGAACTCTTTCACTGGAGTGCAATATGAAGGAAAAAAAACTATGTGTGAAAGGAAATAAAATCAGAATTCTGAAGCTGAATGTAACCCTCCTAACAGGTTGCCTACAAGGCAGCCAGAGAACATCTGCTGATGGCTCTAGACAACATGCTGATGCAAACACTGACACGTGGCATTTTTTAAGGGAATATGTTTTCCTTAAACTGAAACAGGAGCATGAGAAAGGGACCAGACCTGTGTGTGCAAAACACAGGGTAGGCCTACCCACAAAAAGATGTGTTTGCCAGAGCCTGTTACGCCTTCGGTCAGCAGTGACATGACAGAGAGGACACCAGGTCCCCAAAAATCTGTTCAAGCTTGAAAAAAAAAGTACTTACGTGTCCCCTGACTTGCGGTAGTTCTCTGGGCACTCCAGAGAGAGGCAACGAAAGCCCCCCTGGATGTTAAAGCAGGTCTCATTGAAGGAGCAGTTGTGGCTTTCTGCAACACACTCGTCGATATCTGCCAAATGGGAGAAGGTGAGTGGGTTAAACACACCCCTTTCCTCTGCTCAGATGTGCCAGATGATGAAAACATCATGGGAGGTGTTACAGAACACGGGGTGCAATTAAATTGTTACAGGACTGGCAGGGGACAGCCAGAGAACAACAAAGAAACTTAACCCAAACAGGCAAGGATGGGAAAAGGAAGAGCAGCAGTGCCACTAAGTGGACAAGACCTAAATATTGGGGGAAATGTTTACAGCATAGTTCTTTTTAATGGCTAAACTAACCCACACCCTTTCACAGAGGGAGTTTTCACCTTCAGAATTTTTAATAAAATGATTTAATGCTATAAAAAGTATTCTTTACTGCATTCTGTAGTTTGTAAGGGAAATTTCTGGTATGTTTATTATAAAACACTGGTTTCTTCAGATTTCAATCTGATGCTTACTGCTTTACCTAGAATGTCATAGGAAAGGGATTTTATTAAACCTCAAAACTTGCTAGAACTTTTCAGAAGTCCACAGTTAGATGTCCCTGCAGAAACTGAACTCACCTTGGCAGTTGCGTGCATTGGGTGCCAGCCTGTAACCAGTGGAGGGACAAGTACACTGAAAGCTCCCAGGAATATTGATACACCGAAAGGAACAGATATGCCCTCCAGTAGGCAAAGCACATTCATCAATATCTGCAGGAAGAAATCACCACTAATTTACTCTGGGATCAAAACACTGATCCAAGTGCACCTACGTGGGGCTGCCGCCGCCAGCTTCAAACACAATTATTGTTGAAATAATTCATATTTCATTGCTAAGCAATGAATAAAGATCATCAGATAGGTGTGGCTCTGGTCAATAAAGGTTGTCAGGAATAAATAGAGGTGTGTAAAAAATGAAAAGCAATACAAAGGCCCATCAAAGTATATGGATAAGAGCAAGCACTTTACAGTGACATGTATTGTACTACTTCTGTAGTACTTCTATGAAGCACTACAAGGAAGGGAGGGAAGGAGAGGAATAATTTTATCCTTGTTCTTACAAAAAAAAACCCCAAAACCATTGACATGACGTGTTCTGACCAAGGTCTTACTGAAGTCCTGGAGACCCAAGTCCAAATTCAGGGTCCTGTCCACGAGTTCACACCCACATCTTCCTTGTGTTTGAGGAGAACCTACCTGCACATTACTTCAGAACCAACCACATATAGAGGATATATAAAATACTATCTAGTAATACAGATTATATATGTAACATATATATGTTACTATAGTAATATTACCACAACTTAAAATTATATTATATTATGTATAGTGACTAGTCTAGAAGACTAGAAATTCTGTTAATTCCTCAGGGAAAAATAAATCTCTGGTAATTTACAGAACTACCTCAAGCTACAATTCAGTGTAAACACCACAGTGGGTACCACACAAGCACAGATACTTCTGGGCTGGGACATGGGTGGGAGACCTTCATTAAATACAGCTTCATAGTTTCTCACAAAAATCCCAAAGAGAATAAAATGCTAAAATGAAGCAGCTACAGGTACACGGACTGGTTTGTTGTTAAGGTGAGAGTATGAGATGTCCCCTCATGCTCTGTCTGGAAGATGCTCCTGGTTACCTTCACATGAAATCCCATCGATGTCGCTGAGCTGAAAGCCACGGCGGCAGTAGCACTGGTAGGAGCCATACACGTTGGCACACTCTTGGCTACAGGGGCTGCTCTCACACTCATTTAAATCTGAAATGCAAAATTATAGATAGCTGAAGCCCAAATTTCTCTCTGGATTTGTCAGTCTTGTTACATGGCTAAGACAAAAGTTTGGAGGACAATTTTTGCATTGAGGAAGGATGGTGCTTATGTCACTGAACAGGCTGGAAATAAGGGTCTTTGGGTGTATGATGTGCAACAGGGTCTGCCAGAATAGGTTAATTTGCACTCTGCTGTTTTTTGCCACTGTCCTCCAAAGTCTGGGACTTGGAAGGTTGCATTTTTCTAACTGGATAACATTCCTGTAATCAGGGAGACCACACTGGGTTGATTTTTCATCCCAGTGCAGTCTGACCAGCTAAAATCAAACAGAAACAGCTAAACAACAA